TTTTATTTTATGTGTATGACTGTGTGTATATGAGTGCACCCATGTGGTACAATGCCTCGGAGGTCAGAAGACGGCTTCAGATTACCCTGGAACTAGAGTTATAGACAGTTCGTAGCTGCCATGTGGGTACTGAGACTCTGCAAGAGCAGTCAGTGCTCTTAACTGCTGATCTATCTATCTATCATCTATCTATCTATCATCTATCTATCTATCATCTGTCTGTTTATTTTTGGTCTTTTTGAGACAGGGTCTCCCTGTAGCCACAGCTGGCCTGGATTCCCTATGGAGACCAGGTTGGCCTCAAACTCACAGAGATCTGCCTGCCTCTGCCTTCCAAGTGCTGGGATTAAAGGCGTGCACCACAACCCCTTTTTTATTTTTATTTTTTTAAGACAGGAGCTCATGTAGCCCAGACTAGCCTCAAGCTCTCTATGTAGCTGACACTGACTCTGAACTCCTGGTCCTCCTTCAACCTTTGGAGTGCTGGGATAACAGGCGTGCCCACCATTGCTGGGCATGAATTCAGGGCTTTTGTGTGTGCTAGGCAAGCAATCTACCCACTTATAAGCACTCTGTTCACTGAGCTACAAGCACTCTACCCACTTATAAGCACTCTGTTCACTGCGCTACAGTCTACACACTGAGCTACAATCACTCTACCCACTGACCCTAACCTTCCTTATTTTAAGACAGAGCTTCATTAAGTTGCCCAGGATGGCCTGAGATCTACCATCCTCCTGCTTCAGCCTCCCAAGTAACCCAATCACAGGCATGCCCCACCACACCTAGCATTGAGTGCCTCCCAAATAAAGGAAGCAGCAGTGTCTTGCTTGTTCTCAGTAGCTACCTGGTGACATGTGTTAAGGAGGATTCTGAGGGCCCATCTTGACAGATAGCACAGACATTGATTGAGGTTGTCTGGCCTGGGTGTTTAGGGGGTCTGGGATTGACTGAGGATGTCTGGCCTAGGCGTGGGTAAAGTAGCTTGGGGAACATCTGCCAAGTGTGTCACTGTTGTTCTGAGTTTTCTTCCTCCCTAAGCTGCCGGGTAAGTAACACCTCACCTGCAATTTCAAACTGGTCAGGCATCTCCATAGCCAACTTTTGCATAGCGATGTCAGCCACGGGCCCCAGGATCACCACCGGGCGCTTGAAACTGGCTGGAAAACAGATAAAGTGACAAACTGAGGCTGTGGGAGCCAGGGCTGAGGTTCAGGGCGGTGCTCACCTAGCACCTAGGAGGTCCTGGATCCATCACCAGCACCCAGAAAAATCAGGCATGGTGGCCCACACCTGTCATTTCAGCACTCAGGAGGCTGAGGCAGGAGGATTGCTGTGAGTTTGAAACCAGGGGGAAAAAAAAGAGAAACTTCTGTTTTGTTTCTGACCCTATTTGGGGGTCTATGATATTAGTGGACTACACTGTTTGCAAACTCTAACAAAGCTGTGTCCAGCCCTTGGCTTGTCCTTTGTAAACAAAGTTTTTGGTTTTTTGCTTTTTAAAATTGCAAGAGCATCCAGTGCTCTTATCCCATGAGCCATCTCTCCAGCCCCACCTTTTGTTTTCTTTCTTTCTTTCTTTCTTTCTTTCTTTCTTTAAAATAAAATATTTTATTTATTATTTTTATCTTATGTGTATGAGTATATTGCCTGCATGTATGTGAGTGCACCCATGTCGTGCAATGCCATGGAGGTCAGAAGAGGGCTTTGGATTTCCCTGGAACTGGAGTTAAGGACGGTTCATAGCCGCCCTGTGGGTGCTGGGAATCGAACCCGGGTCCTCTGCAAGAGCAGTCAGTGCTCTTAACCGCTGAACCATCTCTCCAGCCTCCTTTTTAACATTTCTTTTTTGTGCAGCAAAAGTTGTCTGACTTCTGGCTGATGATGTGAACCCTTGGGGTTGGGGCAGAAGCCTTTTTGTTGGGGGGGAAGCCCAGATGCAGGCCTGTCTTCTACAGAATCTGGTCCCCACTCTGGGCCAAGTGCTCATCCCTGTCCTAGTCTAAACCACACCTGGCACTCAATTCCCTCTCCCCAGAGGCTCTGTGCAGCTAATCCCCTGCCTGCTGGGAGTTCCAGAGCGGCTGCTTCTCTCTCTTGTTCTGGGTTGAGGAAAGCTAATCTTTCAGACCTGGGACTCTGCATGTCTGTGTTTAATTGTAAAACACAAACAGCCTTAAAACTGATCGTTTTTATTTTTATTTATTTATTTATTTACTTGTTTATTTATTATTATTTTTGGTCTTTTTGAGACAGGGTCTTGCTGTAGCCCCAGCTGTCCTGGAACTCACTATGTAGACCAGGCTGGCCTTGAACTCACAGAGATCTGCCTGCCTCTGCCTCCCAAGTGCTAGGACTACAGGCGTGTGCCACCATGCCAGGCTAAAACTGATCGTTTTTAACTGGCACATTTAAAAATACACCATTCAGCAAATTTACATTAGGCAATCTTCACTCTGCTTTCAGAATAGTCTACCACCCTAAAAGGGAGCCCTGTCCCCATGAACCATTCCCAGTCCCCTCCCTGGCACCCACGCATCCACTTCCACTTCTGAATTCTCCTGCTCTGGACACTTCCTGTCATGGAGCCGCATTGTGTGGCCCTGTGTCTGGGTCTCTCTCACTGAGCACAATGTCCCCGAGATCCTTCCACACTGTGGCATGTGTCAGAGTCTCCTGTTCAGGGCTCAGTAATACTCCTCTGTGTTTTTGCATTTTGAAAGAGCACTTCTCTAAGTTGCCCTGGGGTGACCCACCACTCAAGATCCTCCTCCCTCAGATTCCCAAGTGCTGGGATCACAGGTGTGTGCCACCATGCCCAGCCTAGAACTGATTTTAAATGGCTCCTAAGGTCAGAGTCTTTGGGAAAAGTACACAGGCAGGAAAAGTGCACATGGCTTTGGGTCCATGCGATCTTGGAGACTCGACTCCTGGCTCTCCCACATTCCCACTGATCCCTCAGCACAGCTGCCACTCACCTTCTCTCAGAACCACACGCTCATAGGGTGGGTAGTGTCCCTGCCTGGTCAGAGCAGACAGATCCTCATGACTCCGTTGAGTTGTCTTCTTGGCTCCTCGGCGGAGACCCCTGAGCCGCCAGAACTCGCCTCGTGCGTTAGAACTGGTGGAGGAACCAGGTCCAATGCCCACAGCCCGCTGGGCAGCCTCCAAGCTGGCCAGCTGCTCTGCCCTGGGGAGGAAGACAGAGGCCCTAAAGCAACAGAACACATCCCAGAGACAGCCAAGTTCCCATCCTGGGGCCTGGGGACATGTTGCCTAAATGGGCAGAAGGGACTTGATAGATGGCCTATGCCGAGGACCCTGAGCCAAGGACCATCCTGGATCATCCAGGGCCCAGTGTCATCATGGGATTCTCAGAGGGAGACAGGAGGGTGAGAGGGAAGGACTGAGAGGTGTATGCCAATTGTGAAGAAAGGGAGGGCTGTGAGTCAAGGGATGTGGGATATCTGGATGCTGGGAGGGACCAGCCCTGTCATCCCCAGATCTTATAAGCCAGGACTATGTATACCCTGTGAGATAAGGCTGTACCCTTCAAAGCTAATGAAGTGGGTCAGTAAGAGGACTCAGTGGGTAAAGATGACTGCCACTAAGCCAGAGGACCTGAGTTTGAGCCCTAGGACCCTTATGGTAGGGAGAACTGACTCTACGAGCTGTCCTCTGACTGACCTCTGCACTGTGAGCGCATGTACACACACAGGGAGACAGAGAGAGAGAGAAAGAGTAATAAAACTTAATTTAAAAAATTAAAGTTACTGAATTCCTAGGCATGCACACTTGTCATCCCAGCACTGGGATGGCTGAGCAGGGAGATCAAGAGCTCAAGGTCATCCTCAGCTGCAGAACAAGTTCAATTCTAGCCTGGGCTACATGAAGTCTCATCTTTAAAATATCAGAAATGGGGGCTGGAGAGCTGGCTCAGTGGTTAAGAGTACTGGCTACTCTTACAACAGACCTGGGTTCAGTTCCCAGCATCCACATTGTGGCTAACAACCAACCATAACTCCAGTTCCAGGGGATACGATGCCCTCTTCTGACTGCCACAGGCACTGCACGACACAGGTGCACTTACACACATTCAAGCAATACACTCATACACATAAAAATAAATCAATTTTGGGGCTGGAGAGATGGCTCAGCAGTTAAAGAGCACTGAGTGCTCTTGCAGAGGACCTGGGACCAGCACCCACATGGCGGCTACAAACCGTCCTTAACTCCAGTTCCAGGGGAATCGGAAGCCCTCTTCTCACCTCCGGGGTATTGCATGACTCAGGTGCACTCACATACATGCAGGAAATACACTCATACACATAAAATAAAAATAAAATATTGAAAAAATAATAATAAATCAATTAAAAATTTTTTTTGGTCTTTCTGAGACAGGGTCTCCCTGTAGCCCAAGCTGACCTGTAACTCATTATGTAGACCAGGCTGGCCTTGAACTCACAGAGATCCACCTGCCTCTGCCTTCCAAGTGCTGGGATTAATTAAAGGCATGTGCCACCACTCCCAGCTTTATAACTCAATTTTTAAAAATGTCAAAATAATAAAATTTTAGAAATTAAAAAATATCAAAAATGAATCAATGAATAAAATCATGAAATCTGTGTTCAGCTGTCATAGTAGTGGCCTGACAAGCACACGGTCCCACCCGTCCCACCACAGAACCCACAAGCTGTGTAGACAAAGGGAAAACAGGCTGGGTTGGGGAGACCTACAAGAGCCTGAGAGCATCCCAACCTGCTCTGATTGGGGATGACACCCCGTTCTTGCTCCCGTAGATCCCTGCCCATGCGTGCTGCTAGCCAGAGGCCCCCGCGGCTGCCATGCCCGTGGCCCTGTCCTCCGGGACCCGGGTACAGCGTGTCCACCACGTGGAAGACATCACCACGCGTGAAGCCCAGGCCATAGGGAGGACTCGGCTCCAGTTCGAAGTGGGTCCGGATGTAGAAGGAGTCACCCACGCGGGACTGCACCATCTTCCTGAAGACTGGGGGACAGAAGGGGTATGTGTGTGTGTGAGGCTGCACTTCCTAAGTGACACCTGCCAGGGGCCCTGTCCCTCCCTGGGGACCTTGACTGGACAGACGCAGGGTCAGGAGAGACCTGGGGTATATGTTCAGTGAGCCAGGGGCTTGGGGTCTTTTAGATTTTATGTATTTCTTACTTATCCCCCCCTTGTTTTTTTTTGAAACAGGGTCTCCCTGTAGCCCCAGCTGGTCTCGATCTCACAGAGATCTCCCTGCTTCTGCATCCCTAGTGCTGGGATTTCACCTTGTATTTTGAGGCAGGGTCCCATGAATTCATCTAGGCTGTTAGGCACCCCAGGGATCCTCCAGTCTCCACCTCCCCAGGTCTGGGATAACAAGCACACGTCAGCACACCCAGCTTTTTACATGGGTGCAGGGAATTTGAACTCAGGTCCTCATGACTACACAGCATGCACTTCTCCGCTACAGATTCTCCCAAGCACCTCAGTTGGGTGGCTGCACAGTGACACACGAGGACACGCACTCCACACTCACTGTCCTGTTTCCTCTGGGTCACCAGCTCAATGTCCTCCCCTGCCGGGAGCCCCAGAAGAAACTGCACAGCCTCCTCACGGGTCAGGTTCCTGAATGGAGTATCATTCACCTGCCAGGGGAGGAACCAGGCTCAGTATGCAGCTAGCCAAGTCACATGAGCCTAGGTGTGTACCAAGACGGGACTGGACCTATTGAACCAGTGCATAAACATTCTCTAGGGCCAGGGAGGCAGCTCAGTGGGCAAAGAGCTGGCTGTGCAAACATGAGATCTGAATTTGAATCCCCATTACCCACGTAGAAGGCTGGGCATGGTGGCACACACTTGTGATCTCAACACTCGAGGCTGAGGCAGGAGGATAGTGACTTCCTGGCCAGCATGGGCTACAGAGAATGAGACCTTGTCTCAAAGAAAGAAAAAGTTGGGGCTGAAGAGCTGGCTCAGAAGTTAAGAGCACTGGCTTCTCTTGCAGAGGGCCTGGGTTCAATTCCCACATGGCAGCTATGAACCATCCTTAACTCCAGTTCCAGAGGAATCCAAAGCCCTCTTCTGACCTCCGCGGAACTGCGCGACACAGATGCACTCACATACATGCAGGCAATACACTCATACACACACACACACACAAAAAAAAAATTAAAATAAATTTTAAAAAAATAGACTTTCAGCCATGCTGAACAAATGGGACAGAATTTATCTTAAAAAAAAAACAACAACCAAATATTAAAAATAAATAAATAACAAATAAAAAGCAACAACAACCATCAACTGTCAACTTTGCTCAGAATCCCCAGGCTGATAAGGAGGCAGGAAAACAAGGACCAGGCCAGCTGTCCCCACATCACCTGCAGGATCTCGTCACCCTCCTGGATACCCTGGCCGTCCGCCGGGCTACCCGCCTGAACACCAGACACGAATATGCCCACGTCGTTGCCGCCAGCCAGCCGCAGCCCTATGCTGGCACCCTTGGGAAAGCGAACGATGCGTGTGTCTGGACTGTAGCTGTGGAAGAGGGGCACAGGTTAGGTCGCAGTGCCGAAGGGCCAAGCCCTGGGTCCGCACTTAGGCCTTGGTTTCCCAAACAGCACAAATGACAGTGAATGTCATCCAACAATGTATAAAAGACAAGGTTGCCGCGAAGGGGGCCCGAGTTAGGGTTTACAGGATGCTGTACTGATTTGAGGGTACACACCCACGGTCCTCCAGGTTCTGACGGCTGGGAACCCGGTAGATGTCATAGCTCCTTTCCATTGGTGATCCTGGAAAAAACAAACTTGTGTCCTTCACTGTTGGGAACCTGAACCAGGACCTAACACTGTACATGCAGCCCTTCACTGGGGGATTTCAGGCTCTCACTCTACCCTGAGCCACGCCCCAGCCCCTCACTGGGGATTCTAGGCTGTCACTCTACCCTGAGCCACGCCCCAGCCCCTCACTGGGGATTCTAGGCTGTCACTCTACCCTGAGCCACGCCCCCAGCCCCTCGCTGGGGATTCTAGGCTGTCACTCTACCCCCTAGCCACGCCCCCAGCCCCTCACGGGATTCTAGGCTGTCACTCTACCCTGAGCCACGCCCCCAGCCCCTCACTGGGGATTCTAGGCTGTCACTCTACCCTGAGCCACGCCCCCAGCCCCTCACTGGGGATTTTAGGCTGTCACTGTACTCTGAGCCAAGCCGCCAGCCCCTCACAGGAGACTGTAAACTAGGGTCTCCTCCAAGCTGGACGCCATGGCCTCTCCTCCCAGGCTTTGACTCTGAGCATTGTATCTGTCGGACATTCACCCCTATGTCCACCTTTTCAGTCTCTGCCTGGCACAGCATCTTGTGGAGATCAGAAAAAGCCCAGTTCTCACCAGGTGTGGTGGCACAGGCCTTTAATTCCAGCATCTGGGAGGCAGAAGCAGGCGGATCTCTGTGAGTTCAAGGCCAGCCTGGTCTACATAGTGAGTTCCATGTCTCAAAAAGACCTAAAAAAAAAAAAAGCCCAGTTCCCCATGGATCACCTGGTTTTGAAGGAGCTCTTGAATCCACTGATCTTTCCTGTCTCCAGAGCTGTGGGCTCTCTCTGCAACATTACAGATGTGGGGTGAGTCTGGGGAGCCCTTGCATATGGCCCCCATAGAAGTGTTTGCACCTCTGGATCTAGGGATACAGCTGGAGCTCCCCAGACACACGTGTCCCTCCATGGCCACCTTCCTACCCAGGAATCCCTCTCTCTCAGGACCTCACCTGGCTGAGTCCACCTGGCTGTCCTCCATGCTCCATTGCCCATGCTGAGGTGGTGGTGGGATGTGGGATGGTGGGGCCTGGGATAATTCGGAGGTCAGGTCTGAGATGTCTGGCAGGGAGGGGACAGCAGGTGAGCTAGGGTCATCTGTCGACTTGAAAGCTCATGTCACAGAGGGGACCATGGAGGCACTGCTGAGCAGGTGGCCCCTGAACTTCCTGGAATTCAGGCTGCGTGTGCTGTGTGGCGTTAGGTAAGTTCAGTCTCCTTACCGTCCATGAGAGAGCTGTCAGTATCACTCACTGCAGGCGGGATGTTCACCAGGAACTGGCCCTGGTCCCTCAGCACCAGCAGGGTCAGCTTCCCTTCTGACCTCTCAATGAGCTGCCGAGTATCACTCAGTGACAGATTTGCGCTGGACACCCCATTGATCTGAAGTAGGCCAGGAAGAACAGAAAAAGCAGGTTTGTATTGGGGACACCAGAAAGTTTGCCGGAGCAGGACTAGAAACAGACGGCTTGGTGGAGGGGGGACTAGAAACAGACAAGAAGCCTGGATGCACCTGCAGGATAAGGTCCCCTTCTTGCAGCCCGCGGTTCCGGGCAGCAAGGCCGGAGTCTGTGATATGCTTTATGAAGATCTGACTGCCCAGTTTCACACCGAACTCTGGAAGAATAGGGAGAACTGAGGCAGAGCTCTAGAGCTGGCCACAGGCCCAGATGGATTTTCTTTTCTTTTCCTATCTATCTATCTATCTATCTATCTATCTATCTATCTATCATCATCTATCTATATCTATATCTACTTTTATTATTATTTTTTATTTATGTGTACGAGTGTATTGCTTGCACCATTTGCAAGTGCATCCGTGTCAAGCAATGCCTGTGGAGGACTGAAGAGGATATTCGATTCCCCTGGAGCTGGAGTTACGGATGGTTGTTAGTTGCCATATGGGGAGCTGGGAACTGAACACGGGTCCTCTGCAAGAGCAGCCAGTGCTCTTAACCTCTGAGTCATCTCTCCAGCCCCCAGATGGATTTTCTCTTTGAAGGACACCTGCCCACCGCCCCATGGAACTGTCCCCCACACCTTCACTGTTTTTCTGCTTCACCAGCACTGACTTCAGGGGCTTCATGAGCACGTCCTGCTTGGGCAGCCTCTTGTAGCCAGACACCAGGTCCAGCCCATTGGCATCAGAGCCACCACCTGAGCTCCTGCGACTGTGGCCGCCCATGCGGCTCCGGCGTCCAGTCCTTGCCCGGTAGGAACGCTCGTCCCAGGATGGGCCTGAGCCACTGGATGAATCACCCTCATAGCCCTGGCCATGGTCAGCCTCGTCCTGATCAGAGAGATGGTGCCCCATGCCAGACGGCACAGCCTTGGAGGCCGGCAACTGGACCCTGCGGGGGCGCTTCACTGTCTGTTGAAGAAAGAAGGGAGGTCAGCAAAGCCAGGGGCCAGGGAAAGCCATGCCCCATCCGGATGGGACCTTAGTGGACCCAGACACTCTCTGGACCTCAACACCAAAGTTGTCATCTAACCACAGGAGCTGGATGACAGCCTAGAATTCCTCAGTTAGGAGCTGGGGGCGTGATTTAGGGGTAGAGTAACAGCAGACAGAGTCCTCTAGTGAGGGGCCAGGGGTAATGGCTCTGGGGCAGAGTGCCAGCAGAGAACCGTCAATAAAGGGCTGGGCATGTGGCTCAGGGGTAGAACCTCTTTCTAACCTGTAAGTGTTTTGGGTTTTATCCCTAGCACTCCCATAAACAAAATAGTAATGGAACACCTGTACCCCAAATAGCATAGGGCCAGGTCTGGTTAACACAGGATCCAGTTTCCCTGCCCATGTCTGTATGCTATAACAAAGAACCAGGCCCAGCTCAGGCCGCCTGCCGTAAGGAATGGGGAAAGGGCTTCCACATACATGATGGCCCAGTGCAGTTGCAGTCGCAGTAGGGTGTGGCAATGACAACCTGCTGAGAGATGATCTGCCAGGAGACAGACTGCCATTGGATAGCGTAGGACAGCGTGGGAAACCATGATTGGCTAGCCAACCCCTTATAACCTCAAACGCTTCCCAGAATAAACACGTCTGCAGCAGCTCGCCCTCTGCTTGCTTTCACCCGACTCCCAGTGTCTGTGTCATGACTCCGTGCCTCTCATCCCCATATCGGCAGGGACCGTGTGTCCCCCTCCGGCTGGCTCCGGGGAAGGACAGTAACACATGTCCACTTACAATGTCAGCTGTTTTGTTGCAGGTCTTCAGGATCTGGATGGCAAAGGTAGCTGTGACATTCTCCACAGAGACTCCGTTCACCATGACAATATGGTCTCCGGTCCTGAGTGAGGGGCCCCAGAGGAGAGACTCAGAGAGTGCACCCCTCCCGCATGGTCACCCCTGGGTGTGCCCAGCCTGGTTGTAACTGAACAGTTTGCACTTTCTCCTTACCCCTTCTTTTCTGTGTCTGTCTGTCTGTCTGTCTCTCTCTGTCACCCATCAGTCCCTCAGGGCTCAGAGCCATTTTCACTGAGGATTCCCAGGATCCTGGTCCCCAAGTCTTAGGACTCCCCTCCCTTTCTACCAAGAACCTTCCAGAACTTTCTGTTCAGGTGACCTGGGGGCCACTGTGCCCTTAGGCACTGCCCTGAAGCTCCAACCAGGAAATGTGCCAGGAACTGGAGCCTTGTTGACAGAGCTACAGGGTGCCAAGCGCTATCTAGCCCCCACACTTCCCTCCTCCTGGCCACCCTCTCCCAATGGATGGTGTCCCCAGCCTCACTGGAGCCGGCCCTGGGCTGGGCCTCCAGGTACCACGTCGGATACAACTACAGATCCACTGGCCCGGTCTCGGCCTCCAGAGATGGCAATGCCAAAGCCTCGGCGGGGGTCCTGAGGGACACAGGAGACCAGAGTTACCTTCCCTCCTTCAGGGACTCTGTTCGCAGGGCTGGACAGGGCACAGCTCACCTTGTGCAGTGTGGCCGTGTGCTGCTCCCAGATGGTCATCTCCTCCATTTCTGCCACCTGGGGGGCAGAGAACAGGGCCACAGGACACACAGATTCAGGGGTGTCCAGAGGGCAGGGTTCCCTATGCCCACCTCATCCTCCACAGCCTGTTTTTCTCAATGCAGGAGCCAGGGGGTGCCTGTGAACACCAGCTCTCTCCTGGGACCACAGGCCTCCATGGCTCCCACCAAGATCAAAGCCCAAGTCCTGCTAGCAGCCCACAGGACCCTGCCCCATCCTCCCTCCCTCCCTCCTTCCTCCCTCCCTCTGCTCCGGACACAAGGGCCTCCTTAATGCCCCTCCAACATGCCAGACTCCATCCTGCCCCAGGATTTTGCACAGCCATGCCCTCTGTCCCAGGGCTTTGTACAACCATGTCCTCTGTCCCAGAACCTTTGCAAAGGTCCTCTGTCCCAGGACCTTTGCAGAGCTGTGACCTCTGCCCTAGGACCGTTTCTTGGCCATGTCCTCTGCCCCAGGAACTTTGCTCAGCATGTCCTCTGTCTCAGGACCTTTGCACAACTGTGTCCTCTGTCCCAGAACCTTTGCACAGCTGTGTCCTCTGCCCCAGGACCGTTTCTTGGCCATGTCCTCTGCCCCAGGAACTTTGCACAGCATGTCCTCTGTCCTAGGACCTTTGCACTGCCGTGTTCTCTGCACTGAGGCCCTCGCATGGCCATGTCTTTAGCTCCAGGAACTTTGCACCACTGAGCCCTCTGTCCTAGGCCTTTGCACACTTTACATTCCTTCCAGGTCTTTTCTGAACCCCTCAGAACTCATCTTACCAGGTCACATCTCCACACTGAAACTGCCCCCCACTCATCCCTGCTAAGCTCTGTGTCTCAAGTCTCTCACACCTTGTGTTCCAAGCCTGGTCTTCTGTTTGTCGGTTTGAGACAGGGTCTCCCTCCCCCATAGCCCAGGCTAGCCCCAAACGCATGGCAACCCTCCTACCTCAGCTTGAGCTGCAGGAGTGGGGAGAAAAGGGAGGACCCTGTAAAAGACTTTCTTCTAAGACACCTTCCTTTGGGCTCAGTTATACTCCCCCTCCCCATGGAATTTTTATTTCCTGGCTTTACTTTCAGATAAAGGCTCCCAGCAGGTGCCAGGCCTCCTTAGGGGGAGCGGATGCAGGTGGCCCGGCTTGTCCAAGCCTGTTGAGCTTGTCCCAGCTTGTGTGGGCCTGGTCTCCTGTGAATAGCACAGGCTTTGTCTAGAACCCTCGGGGGGCTCTCCCAGTGCCTTAGGGATTAACCTGATCCCTAGCTCACCATCATCGGAGGACACCTGACCTGGAATTCTAAGGAGGGTCTGTGGAACGTTCTAGCCCCTCCTCTTAGTGTGTGGAGGATGGGTAGTAAGTCCAGATCACCTGCCCTCAGCCCTTCGTGGTGGGCAAACTTGGTCAACTCCTATTCATCCCTCACAGTCCCAGGGTCACCATCCCTTCCTCTACCTACCCCTCAACAGCTGCCGACTGTCCCTCTTCGAGTCTGGGGTGTCTCAATCTAATCTTGTATTCCCCTCCCCAAATCTGGGGGCTACAAGAACTCCGTCCTCTCCCCACAGGGTGAGGCATTGGGGGATGAGTCTGAAAACTGGGCAAGAATGATTTAAAAATACTCAGGATCATTCACGTGTGGCGGGAGAGGCGAGTCCCTTAGCCCCGCCCCACCCCAGGTGGGCGGGAGAGAAGCCTTGTCCACCACCTGCCGCCCGCAGATGCAAACAGCCAAACGACACTGTAACCCCAAGGGACCTGTTCGGAGAAGTCACACAGCCCAGGGGCACAAGGCTTCAGGCCCCCCCCCCTCCTCCCAGGCTACTGGGAACCAAGTAGGGGGTGCGGACTTGGGTGTGGGACGACAGTTATTCTCCCTAACCAAAGGGACCAGTCTGGGGAAAACTAGTCACCAGGACTTAAAATTGGAGACCTATGTTCCAAACCAGCTGCAACCTCAGTTTACCCTTTTTGGGTGGGATCTGAGACTAGGCGCTGTGAGTGTGAAGAAACTCTTGAGTTTGGGCTCCATCCTTTAGGGCAAAGTCCCTCCAGGGTCCCAAGAATTAGCCATTCCTGTGCAAACTGGAGCTGTATTCGACCGCCTCTGCTGTGTCAGGCTCGTTAAAGGCTCTGTACACAGTAGGTGCCCAATAAATGCCAGTGGTGTCTCCGTAGCAAAAAAATAAAGGAACAAAACAAAACACGGCCACCACCTTTAGAGACTAGACTCAGACATTTCAGGGTCTCATTGAGATTAGAACTCGGCAGAAAGGCTGAGAAAGCCTTGAGCTGTGTAGCCTCAGGCCAACCATTGCATCTCTCTGGGCCTCAGTTTCCCCATCTGTCACTCACGCAGACGGGGTTCAAGAAGCCCTGAGTACAACTCCACAAGCTAGTCACCAACCCTCTCCGGAGCTCCCCTGAGCTACTTGCCTGGAATCTCACCGCCATTGTCCACAGCTGGGGGGCCTGGAAACAGTCAATCAGCCCCCAACCCGGGTCTAGGGAGGGCCTGGAAACAAGTCAATCAGCCCCCCACCTGTACCAGAGGAGGCTAAAGAGGGTCACAGCCAGGTTGGGCCCGCACGACTGCTCCGGGCTACACCTGTCTCTCTTCCTCCTTCAGGTCAGCTACTGCCCCACCCCAGCGCGACACGCCTCCGGGAAGCAGCCGGGGCCGCCTTCTCTCAGTGGCCTCCATAGCTCACTCCAGATCTGGAGATGGTAAATCCAGCCCGGATTTTCCAGACAACCATCCCTTAGCCCCGCGGCCTGGGAGAGAGAGCGGCGAGGCTGCGAAGAAAACCAGGATGGGATTTTAGCCCCATGCGGAACGGAGTACGGAATCCGGGAGTACTGTTCTGTTCTGTTTGCTTCCCATCACAATTGGAGGTTCACCCTTTTGGACCCGAATCTTTGTTAGTGGGGCTAGAGGAAGTGTAGGTCAAAGAAGTAATGAAGTCCTCCTGGAGGAAGGGAGGGCATTGAAGGTGGGGTTTTTAAGGTTGATTAAGAGTTTACCAAGACAAGGGTTGGGGGAGATGGCTCAGCGGGCAAGAATGCTTGCTTTGTGCTTTGCAAGCATGAAGGCCTGAGTTTGAATCCTCAGCACCCACATAAGAAGCTGGGTATGGCTGATCATGCCTGTAATCCTAGTTCTGTGGGGTCGAGACAGGAGGATCCCTGGTGTCTCTTCCAGGTTCAGTGAGAGACACAGTCTCAAGAGAATAAGGGGGTGGGGGTAGGGAATAAGTGGTTGGTGATAGAAGTCCTCCTCTGGTCCTCACAGGTGTGCAAAGTACTACCTGGGCCTGGAGGAGGGAGAAACTACCCCTCCTGGGTAGGAGGATAGTTGAGGCCCCACCCACACATTCCTCGTTGGGAAGGAAATAAAAACAAAAAGACAAGCTGAGCCCAGCTCTGCCTGAGCCCCACCCCAGCCCAAGGTCAAAGGGGCAGATTTGGGCACAAACACCCCTTCCCGGGCTGGTGTCTAGTCAGAGCACAGGGTTGGAAGAGGGCTGGAGGAAAAGAGGAGACTCTAGAGGGTCCCGGGAGGCCTCCTGGAGAAGGGGGCATTACAGTAGGGTTTTGAAGGCTAGTGAAGAGGTGACCATATAATCAAAAACTTGCCTGGTGTGGTGGCGCACACCTTTAACCCCAGCACTCTGGAGGCAGAGGCAGGAGGATCTCTGTGATATTGAGTCCAGTTTGGGCTACATAGCAAGTTCCAGGTTAGCCAGGGCTACACAGGGAAACCCCATCTCAAAAATAAAAATTTTTAAGGCCTAAAGCTGACTTGTCTACTGCAAATTTATCCCGAACACACCCCAGGATCTCCAGTTACCAAGTCAGGCCTTCCCCCAAGACAAGCCAATTTTCTTGGAGGCTCGAATCCCAACCCTTTCGCCTATTTGTTGTGTTCTCACAGAAGTTCCTTTCCCTCTCTGTGCACTCATTTCTGCATATATCATTGCTGATATATAAAAAAAAGAATCCTAGTCTCTGCATGGCAGAGCAGGCAGGTGGACTAAAAGGAACATCCCAGTACTTGTCAGTGTGCAAACCACTGAATGGGTCTGTGCCTCAGTTTCCCCATCTGCAAACGAATATAATAGTTGCACCTGTCCCCACAGATTAAAGGAATGACTGTGTTTAAGGTGTTTAGGAAGTGGGGCTGGAGGGCTGGCTCAGAGCACTGGTTAAGAGAACTGGCTGCTGCTGGAGGCTGGAGAGATGTCTCAGTGGTTAAGAACACTGGTTGTTCTTGCAGAAGACCCGGGTTCAAATCCCGGCACCCACATGGCAGCGAACAACTGTCTATAACTCCAGTCCCAGGGGATCTGACAGCCTCTTCTGATCCCTGAGGGCATTGCACGACACAGGTGCATTTACCTATATACAGGCAATACAAACATACACATAAAAAACACAAATAAGAAAAAGAGCACTGGCTGCTCTTGCAGAGGACCCGGGTTTGGATCCCAGCACCCACATGGCAGCTAACAATCATCCACAACTCACTCCAGATCCTGGGTATCTGATGCCCTCTTCTGGTCTCTGCAGACATTGCACACACAAATGCACTTACATCCATGCAGGCAAACATACATACATACATAAAATATAATTAAAGAAGAACATTAAAAAAAGATGTTTAGGAAGCTATCATAAGCATGGACCAGTTAACACAGATTTTCTTTTGTTTTTTTGAGACAGGGTTTCACCAGGTGAGCCTGGAACTTGCAGCCCCCCCCCCCCGCCTCAGCTGAAAGCCCCTAATCCCCCAGATTCCATATTAACCTCTGTCCATCCACACTTAGTCTTTCAACCTACCTACACCTGACGCATGAACCTTCAATGGTTCCCTATCCATCAGCCCTTGAGTTAAAGTCCAACGTTTTAAATAAAGTGAGACCTGTGTCCAGGCCCCTGAACAAGATTCATGCTCTGCCTTTCCATCATTCAAATGTTCCTTTTTCCATTCACTTGGTCAGTCACTCAAGAAACTCAG